ATATGAATCCCAATATAACCAGTTAGATGGTGCCTGGGCCAGTTCTGACCCTCGCTGCTGGGCCAAAGGCAGCACTGTGGTGTTTTACCCCAGAGACAACTTGGCTGCTGGAGAGTGCAGCGGGGCACAGACGCAAGTCCAGGCTTGTCAGGACTCCGTTTACCTCAGGAGAGAGAGCTTCTGGCGATGGTGAAGAGAAGGAAGGAGTGGATTCTGCTGGAGGGTTATATCCAGATGTTTATTCCACGGGTACAGAGGTCTGAGCCGGGGCAATTCCTCCAACAGAATGGAGGCCGCATGGTCTCATTAACCTTTTAAGCTCAGGGCAGGGGAAGGGGAGGGGACAGGTGAGCCACCAACCAGGTGAAGGGGCAGGGTCTCAAGGGACTAGGGACACCAATCACACGACGCCTTGCTGGTATGTTAGCCTGATTGACAGGGCACACTCAGCGAGAGGCGAGGGGGAAGGGAGAAGGTATAGGCACACCTGGGAAGGGACCGGAAGTTTAAAACAGGACATTGCAACACACCGCAACAGACTGTATCAAGCCATACTAAATTCACATGGCATGTGTGTAATTTAACAGAATTTAATCAACAGCTAAAAATTTGAAAAAATGATGCAATTAAAAAGTGGTGTTTTAACAGTGATGAATACCAGGGAAACATCAAGTTACCAAATCTGCTGCTCTCATTGAAAATGAACCAAATCCCCTGTTGATAGAAGCTTTTAATAATGATGAATGTGCTCCAAGATTTTGTTATTAAAAATGGGTAGGTAGGAAATGTACTGAAGTATCTTGAATTTGTGTTCTTGTCTTTTCATTGAGCCCTGTGAAGGCTGTTTTGAAGGTTGTTTTGAAGAAACCCTATATATGGATTCCACTTTACAAATAAAGCCACACAATGTTTGGAGGGCTGTAGAGTAACACCACAGAGGCAGCAGGAGATGAGAGACCCGCAACAATCAAAAGGCTGTTAACAAACAGATTTTCATACATACAGTAATTCTATTGCTGAGTCTCATTAGAGTTATGGATAAGAAAATCAAAACTGCGTGCCATGGTACATCAGAGTTTCCCTCATACTGTGTTTGATGTTAGCAAGGTTAGACAATACATCCTGAAGAGTTTCCTTCCCTACATATGCCATTAAATTTTGATCATTGCCTTAGTCTTATCCTAGTGTTGACATCAGCTGTCAGGAGTAAGCAGACAAAATGTTAAGAACTGCAATGTAGAGAAGATCAGACATGATCTGATGGCTTCTGTCTAAACTTTTATGTCTGGCATGTTCCTGTGGACAAGAACTCTAGGCAATGCAGGTACCCACAGGATGATCAGGGGTGATGAGAAGGAAGGAAGGAAGGAAGGAAGGAAGGAAGGAAGGAAGGAAGGAAGGAAGGAAGGAAACACAGATGTTTCCATAAAATTTCCATATTTTATTTTTTTTTATTGAATGAAGGTAGAGTTACATGGAAATGGATACAGAGAAGGAAACAAGTTCATAGAGGAAGGAAGGGGATAAACCATGCAGAATCCAGCAGACAATGGCCAGAACTTTAGTCTGATATCAAGGATGAGAACAAATCAGTGAAAGTGTCTGAGAAGCGTTAGGAGTTTTTCTTAATGATAAGTAGGGCAAGATGAATTCTAAAGATGGCATGAAATATGTGATGAGAAACTGAACAAGCTAGGCATCAAGATGAAAGGTATGATGGGAGAGCAGAAAAAGATATCTCTGAAATGAGGTTCTGGATATTGTGTTGGCATGGAAATTTAGGGAGGAGTCAAAGGTTAAGTACTCTCTACATAAGCATAAGGGACAGGAAAAATACTAAATCTGCCAACAGTTAAAGACAAAAGAAAAAGGGCTGGAATATCTTTGACACCAAGGGAGTTTCTTTCAATCATGATACCGCTAAACTTTCCAAATGCCTCTGCAAATATTTGTTGAAGCATGACTTATCTTCTTTCAAAAACATTTTTGCATTCCAAGTGATAATAATGTTAGTCCTCTGCATGGGTTTCCATTCCACAACCATTTTTGAGGTGACTAATTCTCATGGAATTTCAGGGGATTTGACAATTTAAATACCTTTACTTCCTTTTAAAAACCTGCTACCTTCTGCTAATAGGTACATAGAGAACATAAAGGTATGAAATTTTCAGGCTAATAACCAAAATGTTTGTAAAATGTCTATAATTGGAATAAAAATATATAATAGACATCTGAAATTGTTTTAGTTAACATTTTAAATTTATAGAGGTTTTTTGTTGTTTCAGGAGGAAAGGTGGGCTTTTTTGGCTTTGGGGTTTTTTATTCTCTGTACCTGAATCAATCTTTAAATGTTCGTTTAGTTAGGAGTAATATGTATCTCATATGTTATTTAATCACTTCCTCTACCGAGCCATGTTATTTTAAACAATTGGTAAATGAATCATTTGCAGAGGTCTCTGAAGAACCGAAGATTAATACTGCTTTCCCCAGCATGAGACACTCAAATTTATCCTCTAGAAAACAATAGAGAACATAGAATACACTTCTGGGAATATGCAAGCAATTCTGTAAAGTCAGGGGAGGTTTACATTATGATTGCCCTATAAAATTCAGACAAGTGAAATCATAAAAGCCAAACTAAAGCAAAAACAGTTTAATGCAGGTGAATGTCAATGCCAAACAAGGAAAAGACAGTGAAGCTGCAGCTTGTCTGGGTGACTTCAACATACCTGCATGCCTACAAGGGATTAAACATGAGGGAAGAACCTCAATGTGAACAAAACTGAAATTAAAATTCTGCAGTATACTGACTGAAAGAGAGGATGGAAAATGCAAGCAGCTATCTGGTAGCAAACATTAGCTATAGCAGATGTGATTGCCATTAGCTCTAAATGTATGCTAAATTAAAGCCAACATCTGTTCTCACAGAAATGGCTTCAGCCATCTTAAAAGAAATGTAATTTGGAAATCAAAACTTTAAAAAGGCTTAAAAGGCAGGGTTTGGTAGAGACAGAGAAGCTTGCTGTCTGCCATGGGAAATGATAACTATCAGCAAATGTTCACAGTCCCAAATGGACATTCTACAGCTCTGAATGAGTGATGTTACACAGCCACTGGTGAAGGTCTTGCATGTAAAAGTCTTTAAATGAAACCTTTTAAAGGTCTAAATACAGGGTTCAATTCTTTGACTTCTTTTTAGACAATCAAAGACAAGCAAGTAGTAAATGCTGATGACAAATGCTAAGAAAAAGAAGCAAAGTTATAAAGATTTCTAAACAATGACTAACATCTAAATAATGACTGAGCAGCACTTACACAGAGAGAAACAAAATTATTACAATACCATGCAACACAAAATACTGGGGCTTAGAAAAATGAAAGTAGTAAGAACAAGTGAAAAGTTCAATTGCACTATTACCAAGGCTGGATGGAATTTCAGAGAACTGAGGAAAACGATTTCCAAAATGATGAAGGGATTACAAGTAGTAAAATAGGTGGTAGGAAGTGTCATCATAGAAATCACAGAGAAGAAACTGTGTCATCTAATCAGAGTGCTGAGGAATAAAAAAAACTGGAATGGAGGAAACCTACCTGGCTGGGATTTCTTAGCACTGTTCTTGGCCATCAAGTAATAAGATTTGTAAGAAGTACTAGTAGCAGGAAAATATTACAATAGAAAGGGAAGAGTGCCAGAAGCTATCAGTATTTAGCATTCTGCTCTTCCCATCACATTATCAGTTACGTAGTAGTGGCTATCTAGATTTGGTTTAGTAAAGAGTATGCTGAAATAACTGTTAAAAAACAATTACAGCCACAGCCATAAAATCTGAATTAGTGTGTAGATCTAAGTGTTTATTTCTTGTTTTGGGTCTTGTTGTAAAACATGTAATTCAATTTTATTTGGGCAGATTTAACCACCCTAAACTTAAGCAATGAAACTATGTTTTTAAACACCCATCTAACATATTTCTAAAATATCATACCAATTTAAAGCAATCTTGTTAAAGTAACAAGTCTAAAGTAAGAAGTCAGGTGGCTTTGTTTAGTGAGGATCTATAAGTTTAGATAATTACTTCTCACCTTTTAATTTCGCTGCAGTAAAGTTTAAAGTTTACAACAATATAAAACTTGAAGTAACTATAGTTTCCTGTTTAAAAGTGTGCAGCAAGGAAATTTTTAGATGTAATGAGTCAATGAGATCATGTATCCTTAAGTATTTATGTTACTTCTGGGACAGTTGTGCAAGAATTGCACTGTATATGCTATTATTTGCTTCTCCCAGCATATTGTCATATCCCCTGCACAAACATCATCCATGCAATTCAGCCCTTACAGTTTAAAAATGATGAAAGAATGGTGTAAAACCTCCATTACAGGCATCTCTTATTAAAACTCAGATCTTAACTACTTGATAACAGGGCTACAGGCTGCAAGTTATAATAACAAAACTGGCTAGCTAGTGGAATGTAGGTGTAGATTACTGTAGGAATTGTACAAAAGGGAGTCTGCTGTGGCCATTTAAAAATATTTTATATTGGTAATTAATATCTGTTTTGTTCTGTTGTGTTGACATAAAATTCTCTTGTCATTAGCAGCTATTTCTTGCTAAGATAATGGTTTATGAGTTTTCAATAATAAAGTTCTTTCCCATTTTTGTTGACTGAGAGTTGCTGTTTGAATTTTAAGTAAAAATGAATTTACTCTCACAACAAGATAGTAATATCTGAAAAGACTATTGTCCCTGGGGGCAGAAACTACCTGCTAATCTCTCCATGCAATAATCACTACCTGGAGTATATATTTGAAAAGAAAAAAACAAGCTAAGCCATGCAAGCATGATGCTGCAGTTTTGTCCTAGTGTAATGTCTTCTACTGTCTTCCTAGTATGCATTTTTTGTAATTTTCATTGTTCTCCTGATAAAATTATAAATGCTATTACACAGTAAACATTAGAAATTTTATTCCAAATAAAATCAGCTGAAAATAGATTAGTTTCATTATTTAAACAAAAGAAATATTGTCCTACCATATTTGCTTCTGAAAATTGAAAATTGAAGATGGAACAAGGGATAGAAAAAAGACTGGAAATTTGCCCTTGAGTTTCAACCTGCTTGGAGCTGAAAATAAACTTTTATTTTTGAAATAAAATTTTCTTAAATAATGTTCTTCAATTTGTTCGCTTGTAGCATTAGCAACTAATTTAAATAGCCACGTTGTAGAAATGGTTGGTCAGCATTGTATTTTAATGACAGTTTTTCTCATGAGACGTGCAAGACATTACTCCATCAATAAAATCAGAGTAACTGCCATGTATAAATGACAGTCGGAATCCATGTTTATCAAAGAAGTCCATGGCATTGCAAGAAAAAGGGAAAAAAATTGTTCTAAAATTGTAGCTGATGAAAGAAGACCTAAATAAGATTTAGGAATTGCTTTGGCCAGAGATTCCTTTGGTATATAGGTAATTTCAGCTGCTTACCTTTAGATTAAAAATATTACTAGTGGTTTTTAGGAAGTCAACACTAGATACTCCAATAATCCTCACAGATGTTCATGCTTTAAATAGGAGAGGTGCTGTCATTCCTACAAAATAAACACATAGTAGGAGGGAAAGGAAAAAGCTCCTCCAAGATGTTAGAGTGTAAACACTGGCTCTTGTAGTAAAGTACATGGAAAATTACAGTGAGAAATGAAAAAGTTGTGAAAAAGTTGTAAAAAAGTCAGGTTGTAAATTATAAAGAAAAGGGGAGTGGATAAATCTGTCATTTAACCCTGAGTATAACTGCCCTAATTGAAGAGATAGTTAGCAATGTAAAGGTGACATAGGAGATGAACTACTCAAAGAGGGGGAAAGAGGGGTACATGAGACTAAAAACTAAGGCAGGAATTCAAGTCAAAAAGCACCTCTAAAATTTAGGATCAGCACATGGACTCTTGAAAAACCTCTGTAGTTAAACAGAAGACATTAAGTTAAATGATCAAACTGGAAGCCATAAAAAGCAAACTTGAAATCAAAAGCAGACATCAGTTCAACCATTTTAATGGCAAAGGAGACATGGCAAATTTCTCATTACCTCACATCTTTACATCATGACATAATATGCTCATTTGTTCCAAGATTCTGGACTGTGGGTGCTGACCCCACCTCTTTCCCTCGAGTCAGAGAATGCAATCAGGGAGTTGTGAAGCGTTGAAGATTTACTATGCTCTTCCCTACTCCTTGCATACCCTTAGTCTTCAAGGTCAAGTAACTTCCATCCACTTCTTAAAGCTTGCCCAGATTACACAGATTTACTATCACCAATAATTCTTACAGTATTCAACAATAAATTGTGAAAATCTGACTTAAATGAAACTTCAACCTAAGAAACTCTAAAAGGACTCAGCCAGCTCTGGTTACTGTATTTAGTGATGGAAAAGGGAAACAAACACATCATTATACTGACTAGCTGATAAAATTCTGTGATGCTACTAGCTGTGACTATATGTTCTAAGTAACTAATTCTAATGAAAAGGAAGCTTGGAAATTTTCAGGAGGAATAAAACCTGCTGTTTATGATGATATTACATCTACCCTGGACTACTTTTGTTGGTACTGGCTGCTTTTGCTGCTTCTGTCTTAATTTCTGTTCTGACAGTAAGTTATGCTTTATGCGCTCATTGGATTACTTTTGTGTTAAGATATTGACACTGAAGTCAGGCTGTAGACACCATTTGTTAGAGATTCAAATAGTAATTTATTTTAAAAGTCTCATAACTAAATTCACTGATGTAATAAGTGTACATGATAAAATATTAAATTTAGTTTAACTAAATGTAACAGGATTTACAAAGTTCAAATATTGTATCTTAATCCAGACAGTGAAAACTTATAATTACATTGTGTATCCTGGGAGTTTGTTTATTACAAGTTCACTGATGTCTTTGTACTGATTAGGGCCATGTAGTTTTTCCAGAAAATCATCTTCTTTGTCTGACCTACTGTTTTCCAGAACACTAAGTTCAAGATCAGACATGTTAGATGGCACGTAAGAGCTAACTTGAGTTACTGACTGCTTTTGTCCTGTAGAGGTCTGCCCCTTTCCTGTATTCAGATCAGTATCAGATTTAACTTGTTTGCTTCTCGGTGAAGATATTTCTTTAATATGTCGATCACCCCTGTTCTCTTCCTTCCTTCTCATCTGTTGGGCTTTCTGCTCTTGATCTTCTAATAAGGATGCCTCCATCTCAGCAAGGTTAAGTGAATCAGCAGATTCAGCACTAGTTCCCATGCTGGTTTTAAAGTTACAGTTTCTCCTTAAAGACTGGACTGGAAATGAAGCTGAAGGAACTGGCACAAGATCTGAAGTACTTTGAGCTCTTTGACTTGTCTTTGAAATTCTGGACCTGCTGGATTCCGGCTCTGTATCTGACCTATCTTGCTTTGGTCTTTCAAGCCACAGAGGTTCAGGACTGCTGTCACAAACTTTTGAGTCTCTGCCTGTACTCTCAGCATTGGTGAAATCTTCTGAACAAACCGTGTTCTCTGGACTAGCAACAAAGTCATCAGAGTATATGAATTCAGAGTTGTTTTCAACACTCCTGCTGGAGCTTAGTTTATGACCACTTATAACAGATATATCATCATGCTCTATGGTTTTATGATGGATTAAGTTTATTGCATCGTTGTAACTTCCTTTTGCATTAGCATCTGATGGGAATGCTGCTGGGAGTTGAGCTTTTGCATACTTTTCCTCATGAGCAGATTTTAACAGAGTTTCCTCTGGTAAGGGGGCTGTAATTATTGAATCGTTCCTGGATGGACTTGCAACAGACTGTTTTTGCAGGCCAGGGGATTTATCTCCTGTCACAGAAACTGACTCTGAGAGTGCACTGTTTTCTAATGAAGTCTGAACAATTTTATCCAACTGATTATTCCGCTTTGAACTGCCTCCTGTGCTACAATGCCTGCAAGACACCACATGCTGTTCTTCAGTATTTCTGACCAGTTTTCTCTTGGGTAAGGGGCTTCTCCCATTCAGCATCTCCATTTGCTTTTTTCTGTACTGCTCCCTCCTTTCATGAATTATCAGCTTATCTGGGTTGGTCTTCTGTAGCCGTAGCCTCAGTGTATTTGTCAGCCCATACAACAATTTCTTTTTGGGAGGTCTGTTCTCCTTAGCTTTGCAGCTCCTTTCACAGGCTGGCTGTTCCTCAGGCACAGCATTCTTGGGTCGTCTCCCAACCCCAGAAGACTCTGGGGAGACGGCCTTTTGACTGCCTTGTTTAAATGGAGGGCTCGGGGCTTCACTGCTCCTGCCAGGCCCCACAGGTGTCTCTGCAGGCCTCAGGGCAGCAGAGTGACTGGGAGGCTGTGAGGCCGTGTCCCCACTCCCTGGGGCCTGGTAGAGCCAGGCAAGATGGGGATGGAGAGCAGGAGCAGGCACAGCGCTGCGGGTGAGCACCGACAGCTCTGCCAGCAAGGCACTGAGCAGTGGCAGCTGCACCGGGGCGTGCTGGGGCTCTCGAGGGCTGGCGGGGTGCAGCAGCGAGGGCCCAGCACTGGGACGCGGTGGGCTGCGGCCCTTGTCCTTCTCCGGCGGTCTCTGCGGCTCGACATCCTTCCATTGCCCTACTGCTGCTGGCGGCCGCTGAGGCTCAGACGGCTCACGGCTGTAATAGAGCAGCGGAGGGCAAAAGATGTTGCCTTCCAGCTGCTCACCCTCCTCCTCCTCCTCCTCTTCCTCCTCCTTCTCCTCCTCCTCGTCTCGTGGTTCCGGGCTGGCGGCAGGCGGTGTGGCAGGGCGGGGGCTGGCGGGACGCGCCCCACCGGCCTCCAGGCTGCTGAGGCGGTAGCGCAGGAGCAGCTCCCCGACGGGCCGGCCCCCGCTGTCCCGCAGCGCGAAGCGGCCGCGGCGGCCGCAGGAGGAGGGCGCCCCGGGCCGCTGCAGCAGCTCGGCGGCGGGGGCCAAGGACACGGCGCAGCTGCCCAGGAGGCGGGGCGGTCCCGGGGCGAGCCCGGCGGGCAGCGCCAAGAGCAGGGCGCGGAGCGGGCGGCGGCGGAGCGCGGCGAAAAGCGTGTCCGGCCGCCAGCGGAACAGGCAGCGCTTGCCGCGGCCGAAGGGGAAGGGCTGCCCCGGCCGCAGGGGCGGCGCGGCGGCCGCGGGGCGCAGCACGAGGGTGGGGAAGTCCAAGAGGCGCAGCGCCACGGCCGGGTGTTCCGCGGGCCCCGACATCTCCACGGGCCCCGGGGGCTCCGCCACCCGCAGCGCCTCCACCAGCAGCTCCAGCACGAACAGCCGCTCCATGCCGCCCGCGGGCCCCGCTCTCGCGAGAGGCCCGTGTGTGTGCGGGGTGCAGGCGAGGCCGGCCGCTCTCTCGCGAGAGTCGCGACCCAGCCCTGCTGCCTGCGCGTCGCATCCCGCGGGCCGTCGGCTCCCAGCCGGGAGGGAGCTCGGGCCTGGGGCCCTCAGCGCTGCTCGGCCCCGCGTCCCACCGGCGGGGGTGTGCCTCCAGCGGCTCCAGTGTGCCTCCTGCTAACATGTTGGCTGCCTGCCCTGGTGGCTGGGTGGGGGGCAGCCGTCGGAAACAAGCGCTCTCCGGCGTCTGAGCACAAGCGCCTGGTGTGTGTTGGCCGGAGCCGTCGAGGTCCTGCCCTCGGCTGTGAACACCCTGGACGTGTGATCCCCACTGTAGTTCACAAGAGACAGGAGCGGGGTGGGATAGGCCTTGTGCGCCGTCAGGCAGCAGGAGTGGTGTTTGTGGAAGCATCGAGGGACTTCAAACTGTTTTCACATTCGCAGACTCACTCAATCAGTTGGGTTGGAAAAGAACTCTGTGATCATTAAGTTCAGTCTTTGACAGAACACTACCATGTCAACCAGACTGTGGCACTCAGTGCCATGTCCAGTTATGCCTTAAACGCCTCCAGGGATGGTGACTCCATCACCTCCCTGGGCAGCCCATCCCAATATCTAATCACACTTTTTCTTAGGGAATTCTTTCTAATGTCCAGCTAAACCTCTCTTGGCACAGCTTAAGACTATGTCTTCTTGTCCTATCCATAGTTGCAGCCTGTTCCTGCTCCAAAAGAAATATGGGAGTCTGTATCAAGGGCTATATACTGAAGAGTCTTTCCACAGTATCTTGGATATGCATTGATAAACTCATATTTTCTTTCCTGTCTGCATGTAAAGCGGGAGTTGAAGACAACACACTTGTGAAGAATTTCATTCCTCAGCCTTCTGCCTGGCAAAGAGAGTGCTCTTCCCTCTCTGGCTAGCTTCCCTTACACCCCAGTCTCCTTGCCACAGGCACAAGGAATACCTGCTGAGATAGAAAGAAAATTGTGTTGTTTTCTTCAGTTAGTAAGTTGACTCTAAGAAAACAACTGAGGATGTTGGATTAAAATTACAGTACACCCTCATCATTTACCAGCAGCAAAGTAACTGAAAGAAAAAACAATCCCCTCTCTCTTTCTGGTTATTTCCTCATTTTTTCCCCCATTTTCCTTCAGGTGTCAAGTCACAATTCTTTAGAAAAGTAGAAACCAACAGGAGGTGGTCAAAAAATCCAACTCTTCCCTGTTGGTCAGATCCCTTGATTATTATTTCACCTTTCATTTGCTGTTGTATCTGAGAAGAGAGTTAAGGAATTTGACTCCTGGGTTGTGATGAGGACTCAAGAATTACATAATTGAGTTCTCAGTTCCTCTGCTGCCACTATTCTAAGCACATGAATCTAAGAGCTACACATCTCCTGCCATTAAGGCTGCCAGCATTCACATGTGGCACTGTACTGGCATTGTGGCAGACAAAACAAATGGCCAGTCTGTTTTACTACTGTATTCATGTCCTGCCATCTGTCATCTGCTTTTTTGTGTTTCCTTCTCCTCCTCCAGTTTAGTTGATGTTGTCCATAAAGGAGAAATGGCAGAGGACTTCTGTTACACTGAAATTGACAGAGATTTCACAGTGGTAAAATGGTCACTCTTGAAGTTGTGCACTAAGACAGTGGATCAGCATTTTTCCCATTTTATAGATGGATGTTACTGTGACTGTGTGGTTTAGTCCATGAGTTCTGTTCTCTTATGTTTGAAACTTGCCATCTTTTGTAGAGGACAAAGATGCATCATTTTGCATCTTTCTGTGTAGTAACTGCAACTGGAGTTTGGGGGTGAATGATGAAGGAACCATATTCTTTTTTTAAGATACTGAATCTCTGTACATTGAAGTTTTCAGTTTCATGGCCCTGAAAATCAGACAATTCCTATATTTTGTTCTGCATAGACAATAAAAATAAAAAGTACAGAATACTTGTGAAAATTATAGGTGTTAATAAGCTGTGTAAGACCAGTCAGCAAGCTGGTGACGAAACAATTGTTTTAATAGACAGGAGTAAGGAATTTTGAGTTTGTTGCAGTTGGTGTGTTTTATTAAGTCAATCCACTGGTGATGAGAGCATACTTCTATTCAAAATAAACAGAAAACAACATTGTGGTTTTGAATTGCAAGTTAGGAGAAAAAAAAAATTCCTCTTAATAGTCTTAGTTTCTACTAACCACCATTTAAAGGAGATAAGACTTGTGATAAGACTTCTTTAGATTGTGTATCACTGAAGAGTGATTTAGAAAACAGTCATGCTACAGAAGTAGGGTTATGGAGCCAAGTTTCATTACCTCTACCACTCAAAGGTACATGTTCAAATCTAAATTAGTTACATTTAGTAATCTTTTTAGAATAGCTCTGTTTCTTCTCAGTTCTCCTTTCTTATAAATAGACTTCAAATTTTCTGTCTTTTTTCTAAAAGACTGGAAGACTGAGGAATTTTGCTGATTCAGTGAAATCTTTCAGTGACCTTGTTTGGATGTTTGAAGTACCAACTTTCTGTCTCAAAAAATTCCAACACAGACAATTGGTGTCATTAAGAGCAACTCAGCAACTTTGGTTCAAATCTATGTTTTGAAGGCTTTGAGATATCTTTTTTTGCCTTTAATTCCTGTACAATTTCAGATTTATTGATCTCTCTTCACAAAAAGATCTGTCTATAGAATTATATGTCTGTCTATGGATTGAGACATAGGACATTAAAAAAGTTCTTGAGAAAGCGTGGATTTTGCTAGATTCACAATTGAATCTGCCTATTCTGGTGTTGTTCTAAAGATTGCATTTTTTTAGAGATCAAATGCTGGCATAAAGAGCCACTGTTTACCTGCATATAAAATTGCTCTTCTCTGTGCAGATTGTACAGGGCAATGCATGGAATTTGTGCAAATATTTGGCCTGGTGGCACTCTGATTCAGAAAGGAGTCAGACAGTCTGCTGGAATATTCAGCTGCAACATAATAGCGGTTCTTAAAATACTCCAGCTTAAAATGCCACCCAGAGAAAACTTATTTAGTCTTTTCTCAGTTGTCTGTTGAGTCAGCCACTTGTGAAAGGGCAATAAACAGGAAGAAATTCAGGAATTAGCATGGCAGTCTTCGATAACTCTCCTCATCAGTTCAGAAAAAATATGAAGCAAAGCATTTGAGGGTTTTGCAATGTATTTAGGTTTCTCTCTTGAAGAATCTAGAAGGAATTTTGAAAAGAAATAAGGTCAAATAAGAGAGCCGAATCTATTCTATTGCTATTTGCATATGTTTCAGTATATTGTGCAGAGTCTTGCAGGGAACTTTTCCGTGTCCATATTCTACTTCATGATCCTTAATTTTGTGCTGACCCAGATCTAGTGATGTATGGAGCAGTCTAGGAACAGTTGCAATGGTGTTATTGGCATAGGCATTTTGTTATCCATCAAAATGAAGGATACTGTGGTTTTGCCCCCCTTCTCAGTATGTACCTGCCTGTGCACAAAGTGCCCCATTGTTTGGGTGGTCAGAGCAGCTGGTACAGAACCTACTCAGACATACAGCTCCAAAATTCCTCCCTTGTGTTGCTACCCTAAAGATGCTTGTGAACTCCTCTTACTTCAGTGTGATAGCTCTCACATTTATTTTCACTCTCTGCTATCTTTAGCAGACTTTGGGAGTGCTAAAATAAACATTCTTTGCCTAGTCATGTGGCCCTTCTCCATTTGGCAAACACCCGTATGTTTCCTGTCTTTTTAATGATTTCATCGCTTTCCTTAGTATTTTACTTTTTCAGAGTGGTGAGACTTGGGGCTTATGGCAGAGCTACTTCTTCCAAGTCAGCAGGGGTGGCACGCAGGATTGGTGGGGGAAATGGTTGGCCTTTGAAATGCATGTGGTTTTCACAGCCAGCTTAGGAATACAACCCATGCCAGGTTGTCTTCTGATTCCAAATTTCTTCAGGGGATTAATGGGACTGCGGCAAAGCACAGCTTCTCCTTCTGTGCTGAGCAGTCATCATCATCTTTCTTAGGTGCAGCGAAACTCAGTCCAAGTAGACACCTAAAGGAAACAAGGAAAAATCTGGCAAATACTGTGAGAGCCAACAGGAGGCAGGTTGTCACAAATACAGGAGTTCAGAAAACTATATTGAATGTGACAGTGAGACATATCCACAAGGGTCACATCTAAGGTGATTCCCTTTATTTGAAAAGAGTTCTTATTAAAGCAAATAGACATTTTTGCTTAAAACAAAATAATAGTGAAGGGTCAACCTCAGGATTCAGTTCATTGAATATTCTTTGTATTGTGCCCAACAACCTTCAAAGCCAATTTCCTTAAATATCTGAGTGTTATTAGCACATGAAGGCTTTTCTATCAGTTTCTTATTTTATGTAAACCATCATAAACTCATTTGGTATTAACAGAAATTCCAGGGGTTCACATGCTGTCATTTATAATTAATTAATGTATCATTGTTTAAACTGTGTTACTTCCCATCCAATAGCTGTGAAGCTCTCAAGAATCCTCAGAAGGATTTGATTTATTTCCTTTGTCTTCATGGTTGCAGCCCATACTTGTCATGCACATATGTAGTGAACGAGGAGAGGATTCCAGGTGCTTAGCCATCCGAAGAGGACAGCTTAATCACACAACAGAGCAGTTCCTGGATATGTTTAAGAAGCACAGAAAATCTGCAGCAAAAGTTTCTGTCAAGGTGTGGGGATCCTTAAAATTCCTGTTGTAACTGTATGGCCAGAGAGGTCCTCAGCTCCTCTCAGAGATACTGTCTTTGCAGGCAGTGATTTTTCAGACTCGTCACCTCTTAAAAAGGATATGTTTACAGCATTTCTCTAGCTCAAGCTGGGAACCATTGGAGACAAATTGCAGTTCAAATATCTGACAAGAGCGAAAGCTCTTGTGAGCCTCAGGATGGTTCTTAAAACCAATTCAGTACTTGGATGAGATTTCATTAAAATAAAAAATCAGAGATGTCTGCAAATATTTGAGGAGGAAACAGTATTGTGTGCTTTGTACCAT